CATGCTATGTGCCTGATGCCCAAGGAGTCCAGAAGAGAGCATCAGATACTCTGGAACGGGAGTTTCAGATGGTTTTGAGTTGCTATATGGGTACCCAAAATTGAACCCAGGACCTCTGCAAGAGCAGCTAGTGCTCTTAATCACGGAGTCCAGCCCAGAATCTTAAGCCTGTTCTTCAGTGACATCCAGGATTACCAAAGTGTCTCCATGCCTCAAAGATACTGTTGATAGTGAATAATTTGAGTAAGATACTGAATAGCTTTTGTCTCTGCTACCTCTGCCGTTAAAATACGTTATATTTTATTTAACGTATTTTAGTTAGCGTGAGTCTAATTGCTAATGTAATAAAGTTAGCGTGAGTCTAATTGCCTTTGTAATTATAACAGTAGGTATCATCCACAGCTCACTGCACCTTCAGTGACCCTCATAAGATCAACATTACTGTCAGTAGTAGACTGGGAAAAACAGAGGGTCGGATGCCTTCAAGAAACATGTATAAAGTTGGATATGCTAGTGCACACCTGTAATGCCAGCACTTGAGGAGGCAGATATGATGATTGTGAATTTGAGGCTGGTTCAGGAAAAATAATGAGACTCTATCAAAGGAAGAAAGGAAGGGAAGAATGGAGGGAGGGAAGGAGGGAGGGAGGGAAGGAGGGAGGGAGTGGAGAATGGAGGGAGGGGAGGAGAGGAGGGAAGGAGAAGAAGAAAATATTGCGTGAAATATATAACAATAAGCAAAAAAGCCAAAATTCAAGCTCAGGCTAGTTTAAATCTAAAAACACAGTACTAGATACCTGTAATAGTTCTCTTTTGTTTGTCACTTTTTTTTGTTTGTTTGTTTTTGTTTTTGTTTTTCGAGACAGGGTTTCTCTGTGTAGCTTTGCGCCTTTCCTGGAACTCACTTGGTAGCCCAGGCCGGCCTCGAACTCACAGAGATCCGCCTGGCTCTGCCTCCCGAGTGCTGGGATTAAAGGCGTGCGCCACCACCGCCCGGCTTGTTTGTCACTTTTATTTAATGTTTTGGTTCTTCAAGATTTTTTTAAAAAAACCTTATGAGTATGAACATTTTGCCTCCATGTATGTATGCACATCACATATGTTCTTGGTACTCATGGAGCCCAGAAGAGCGTGTTTGATTCCCTGGAACCGGAGTTGCATGACTGTGAGCTGCCATGTGGGTGCTGGAACCGGACTGGGCCCTCTGCAAGAGCAGCTAACATTTTTAACTGCTGAGCCCTCCCTCCGGTCCCTTCTTCACCACTCTGAGTTTCTCAAGAGGCCTCCATATAGACTAGTTCGGCCCCGACAAGTCTGTGGATATAATGAAGAAGAACTGTAACCAGTTCATAGATTAGGTCTCTACAACAATGCTCACACGGAACTCGGAAATAACAAAGGCAGAACCCAGGAGCCCATTGCCTTCTACTAAGGTCCAAACCAGTGAGTACCCTATCAGCAGTCAGAACTTAAAATCGCTCCCATAAGCACTTTGTGCCAGAGGTAGCTGACAGTACTATAGATTTTCCGCTCGCTTAGGCTTTTCTGGCTGCAGCAGGATCGCCAGTTACAGAGCTGTGACGGCCGCTCTGGCCAACTCCAGCACATCCTCACTCAGCAAGCTTGTCCTTTTTCCGCTGTCGCTCCCAGCTGACAGAGCTACTTTAAAAAAGGAAGTCATTTCTGCAAACCCATTTGAAGCAGCTCATCCCTCTCTGGCTGTTGGCAGATAGGGCTCTGTCAGAAGAATCCAGAAATCTCTTTTCCAACGCTAAAATGGAAGTTCCCGAGTTTTTAGTTGCTTTTTGGGTTGTTGTCCGAGTAGATTAAGCCAAAAATATAAATATGTTAGTGGGCCTTGATTTACCCAAAATAACACACTTTGGCTATTGCAATTTTTATTTTATAATTATTAGTGGCTTTTTAAAAAATGTCAGTGCACTTTGTAACACTAAAATTCTTTGCATAATTAATTTGAACGGCTTTCTGTATAAATTACACTCTTGACAGCCTCCCAGTACTTAAACATAAACTGAGCATAAGGAGAGAGAGGTCAGCCTGAATGAGTCTGAGGGACAGAGAGGGAATACAGGATATGGGGTGGGCAGTATGGAGACCCCACCGAAATAAGGACAATATGACACCTCATCCCAAGAGTGCTCATCATCACGTGTTTCCATGGGCCTCCTGTAGGTTGGCATCTTTTTCTTTTGATTTATTTGGAGGGTGTGTATGAGTGTTTGGTCTGCAAGTGTGTATGCGTACCAGGTTGCTTGGTGCCCAGAGAGGTCTGAGGAGGCTGTCAGGTCCCCTGGAACTGGAATTATACGTGGTTGTTTGCTGTTGTGTGGGCACTAGGAACTGAACCAGGTCCTCTAGAAGAGCAGCCAGAGCTCTTGACTAGTGAGCCATCTCTCCAGCCCCCATGAATCTCTATTTTAGCAGAGGCTACCTCACCATTCAGATTCAGGCCTCATCATCCTGGGTTGTTTTTTTAATTAAGAAGACATAAAATATTAAAATGCAGAAAAATCTGCTAATTATAAAAAATGAGACGGTCCTCGCCATCCAGACAGGCAGTTGTAATATCTCTCTTCTCTTCCTTTGACGGAAATGGCCTCTGCTGCTGCCTTCTCCCGGCCTCCACAGTGCCGCTGGCCAGCAGGAGTTACAGCAGGCACTCTTGGCTTGGCCGGGCCTTCTAATGTTTTAAAATCAAATATGGTGTTTACGTTTTTAATAAATAGGGCTGGGGAGCTGACTCAGAAGTTAAGAGTGCATGTTATTCTTCCAGAGGACCTGAATTTGCTTCCCAGCACCCACCTCAAGTAGGTCACAACTGCCTGTAACTCCAGCTCCTGCAGATCCAATGCCCTCTTCCGGCCTCTAGGGGTACCTGTACACACACACACACACACACACACACACACACACACACACACACACACACACACACAGTTAAAACAAAATTTAAAGGAGGGTTTCGTTGTTGTTTCTGTATTTTTGTCTGGTTTGTTTTGTTGTTGTTGTTTGTTCTGTTGTTTTCGTTTTGAGACTGAAGGATCCCACTATGCAGCCCTGGCTGTCCTGGAAGTTCCTGTGTAGACCAGGTTGATCTCAAACTCACAGAGATCCTCCTGCTTCTGCCTCCTGAGTGCTGGGATTAAAGGCGTGCGACACCACAGCCAGCTTTTAAGAAAAGTTTTTAATACATGGGCTTCAGTAAATTGAGGAAACATCCTCCTTATTCTGCTACAATAGCTTTTATTGAGATAGAAGCTAAATTTCATCTTTTTTAGGTTGCCTTCCAATCTGTTCTCTCTCTCTCTCTCTCTCTCTCTCTCTCTCTCTCTCTCTCTCTCTCTCTCTCTCTCCTCTCTCTCTTTCTCTCTCTTTCTCTCTCTGTGCATGTGTGTCTCTTTTTCTCAGAATGGTGAACATAATCCCTAATTTCAACCACACTTACATCTAATTTCAACCACACTTACATTCCTGGGATTATCCCTGCTTAACTAATTAAAGTTAGTTCAACGAACATGTGTGTACCAGCATCTGCACCTTCCTCGATAGCAGTGGTGGGTTAGGGAGCTGGCAGTGGTTCCAAAGACAAGCTTTGGCCTACTTTTCTTTTATTCAGTGCAGAACATTTACCTTCATAACTGAGGTGGACTTGTTTTTCCTCTTTGTGCTGTACTTGTTTGCCTTCTTGGTTTGGTTTGGTTTGGTTTGGTTTTGGTTTTTCGAGACAGGGTTTCTCTGTGTAACAGCCCTGCCTGTCCTGTAACTCATTTTGTAGACCAGGCTGGCCTTGAACTCATAGAGATCCATCTGTCTCTGCCTCCCGAGTGCTGGGATTAAAGGCGTGTGCCACCACCACCACCACCACCACCACAGAGGTTTCCTAGTGAGATCTGAGCTTGCTTTACCCAACAGGGCTGCATAGGGGAATGATTGGACCACGGGTGTGGTTACCAGGTGTTTGGAAGGGTCTGCACTTGGTTGTGCTGTGTGCTTTGATCTAGTAAGGGGGAGGTCTTTTGCCTCACCCCTTGGCATTATTATAAAAAGCCCTTTTGAGGAGCCAGAAGGGGCCGGTGGATTTTGATTCAGGTCCTCCCAAAGTTATCCTGTGTATCTGTCTGTCTCCTTTCCACTATCTGTCTATCTAAAAGTTTCTTATCCCTCTCTCCTCCTCATAGGAACCCTTTAAAAGGTGGGAGCTGGCCTCCTACACTGGCGTCTGCCTTCTTTTCAATGTTAGTTTAACTGTAAATAAATACGAGTCTTTAATTACTTTCTATGCTATAGACATCTATTCATAACAAATGAACTTATCTTTTTTGTTTTCCTTTTTGAGTCTCATGTAGCCCAGGCTAGTCTCTAACACATCATATAGCCAAATATAACCTTGAACTTCTAACTCTCCTGCCTCTGCCTCCGAAGTGCTAGGATTGCAGGTGACACCACACCTGTTTTATACAAGTACTCTATTAATGGTGCTACACCAGAGAAATTCATCTTCTTCTTAGAGGTTTTCTATAATGACTCCATAAAATTACTGAGACCTTGGACCCCTTCCTTCCCTTACTTTCATAAATAATTTTAATTGTTATTGTTAGCAGTAACAGTAGCAGTGAGAGTTTCGCTATGTATCATGGCATACTCCTACAATCCCAGTACTTGGGGGGTAAAGGCAGGAGGTTCAGAGAGTCTACGTCATCCATAGCTACATAGGATATGTTTGAGGCCAGCCTGGGCTATATGAAATACTGCCTTTAAAAAGTTTTTAAATAAGCCGGGCGGTGGTGGCGCACGCCTTTAATCCCAGCACTCGGGAGGCAGAGCCAGGCAGATCTCTGTGAGTTCGAGGCCAGCCTGGTCTCCAAAGCGAGTTCCAGGAAAGGCGCAAAGCTGCACAGAGAAACCCTGTCTCAAAAAACCAAAAAAAAAAAAAAAAGTTTTTAAATAGGGGTTGGAGAGATAGTTTAGCAGTTACTTACTGTTCTTACAAAGGACCTGGTTCTTGCAAAGCACCATGGTTCGGGGCTCACAGTTATCTGTAACTCCAGCTCCAGGGGACTCAACACCATCTTCTGAACTCTGTGAGCACCTGCTCTCACACGCCATCTACACACACACACACACACACACACACACACACACACACACACACAGAGAGAGAGGGGGGGGGGAATAAAACCTTTCGAAAAATCAGTGTGGCTTAAGAAAGCCCCCCACAGATTACTATGTGTCTGAAGCAGGAGACACTGACATTGAACCCTGTAGCCTGTGGTGTTAGGCACTCACTGCCTGTGAGCTTCACGCCCAGACCCGCCATCAATTTTAGATGCACAGCACCCTATCGTTATCTATATTCATATTGTTGTAATTTTTTATTTTAATAGTATTTTGTACTATCTTTTCAGCTGCTTCGATAATTATTGGATCATTCCATTCCCTGCCACTTTTTCAGCTGGTCTGTACTTCTCTGTAAATTCCTGATTTTAAGTTCATTGCTGTACGGTAGTAAAGCACACGCATACACACATGCACACACAGACACACATGCACACACAGACACACATGCACACACAGACACACATGCACACACAGACGCACATGCACACACAGATGCACATGCACACACAGACGCACATGCACACACAGACACAGACACACACACACTTCCTGGGTTTGGGAAGTGGGAGCTTTGTTTGTTTTGTTGTTGGTGGGTTTTTGTTTGTTTGTTTGTTTGTTTGTTTGTTTTTTTGAGACTAGGTCTGGTTTGTAACCAAGGCTGGCCTCAAACTCAGGACCTTCCTCCCATTCCCCCAAGTCCTCAGGTTCTAAGGCCTTGCCCCCCTTTCTCAGGGATGTCGGTGGGCTTTTGTTTTTGTCTGTTGTTTGGTTTCTCTGTTTGTTTTGTTCTGCTTTATTGATTTTCAATCTTTCAAGTTTCTAAGTGCATTTCTCCAGTTGCTCAGCTTTTGTTTCACTCTTTTATTTTATCTATCTATCTATCTATCCATCTATCTATCTATCCATCTATCTATCTATCCATCCATCCATCCATCCATCTATCTGTCCGTCCGTCCATCCATCCATCCATCCATCCATCCATCCATCCATCCATCCATCCATCTATCCATCTATCTATCTATTTATTTTGACTTTTCGAGACAGGATTTCTCTGTGTAGTTTTGGTGCCTGTCCTAGAACTCACTCTGTAGACCCGGCTGGCCTCGAACTCACAGAGATCTGCCTGGCTCTGTCTCCTGAGTGCTGGGATTGAAGGCGTGTGCCATCGCCGCCGCACGGCTTATTTATTTTTTATTACCCTTATTTATTGTGTGGTGAAGGAGTACAGACATGCCACAGCAAGCTTGTCGGGCAGAGGGCGACTTTTAGGAGTGAGTGCCCTCTTCCACCAGGTGGGTCCTGGCATCAGACCCAGGTGCTCAGGCGTGGTGGCAAGCACCTTTACCTGCAGAGCCAGCTAACTGGCCCTCGTTTCGGTTTTAAACACCACTTTCTATATGCTAAAGGCTCTGCTTTGGCGTGTCTCCAGTTGTCTTTGATTTTCATTTTCACTCACCCTTTGACCTAAGGAGCTCCATCTATTCTCGTGGCTCTTGGTGGCACTGTGTTGCCCACACACCCCTCACACTCATTCTCAGGCAGACACTCTCAAGCCTGCCTCCATCCCCTGGGCTGATGGTCATTTCCTCCCCAGTTGCTGATCCCTGGATACTCATTTCGCACTGCTCTGCCTTGTAAAGGCCATGTTACACATTTGCCCTTCCTGCTCAGTTAACACCTTAAAAGACATTCAGAGGCCTGGTATCCTGGTATTTTGAAACAATAGTTCTCCAAGGGAGGTCCAGTGAGTGACCTTTGCATTGGCACCACCAGTGGTATGAGTTAAAAATACTGTTTCCTGAGAGCCTTCTAGAAATCTGTTATGCCAGAACATCTAGATGTAGGGGTCAGGGATATCTACTTTTAACAAGCACCCCCAAGATAAGTCTATTATAGCACCATGAAATAACAACTCAGCTAAATGACGCACTGATAAGCTTCAGTTAGGTTCAGAGCAAGTCAACCTCACTGAAGGGCACAGAACTCCCGTAACAGACCCTGGGTGGATTGGCCTGGCTCGAGCATGCCTAGGGCTTGTGCCTGCTGTCACCGTTTCCTTCTTAGTCATCCACCACCTCCGGCTCTTAGATTAGTTTGTCCCCTCTCCCACAATGATCCTGAGCCTTGAGAGGACCCGGGGGTGTGACATATATGTCCCATTTAGGGCCGAGCATTCCGCTGTCTCTAATGACCATGCATCCAATACGGGCAGCACAAATTGGACTAATGGTTTTCTTGAATGAATGAATGAATGAATGAATGAATGAATGAATGAGAGAGAAGAAGAGGAAGAAGACAAAGAAGGAGAGGAAGAGGAGGAGGAAGAAGGAGGGGGGAGGAACAAAAGAGAAGGGACACAAAGTTGGGTAAGAAGGAAGGGGTGGCCTTGGGAGGAGCTGGGGGAGAATGATTATGACCAAAATACGTTCTATAAAATTCTCAAAGAAGTAATTTTTTTTATTTTAAAGAAAATGAATTCTGTATTGAGGGTAAAGGTGTAGCTCAATAATAAAACTTGTGGGGTTTTTTTTAAGATTTATTTTTATTTGCGTGTATGAGTGTCTTGCCTGTATTTAATGTATATGCACTGCATGTGAACCCAGTACCCGTGGAGGCCAGTAAAGGGCGTCAGATCCCCTGGAACTGGAGTTACGGATGGCTGTGAGCCTCCATGTCCGTGCTGGGAATCAAACCCAGGTCCTCTGTAAGAGCAGCCGGTGTTTTAACCACTGAGCCATCTCTCCAGTCCAGAGCTTTGCTTTTTATGCTTGTGTTCCTGGGTTCAGTTCCTAGTGAGCACGTACACAAGCTGAGAAGCTGGACTTGGTGGGCAGAGCACGAGTGAACTACTCTGTAAAACGTTCTTCCAGCTTAGTCTATAAAGCTCTTAAAGGCTGTGGTCAAAAGATGAAACAACTAGAGATTCACTTTGGCGCTGCAGTAAGAAATCAATTCCCAACAACTTTAGGTCTTCCAAGTCGGAACAAGCTTCCTGTTCATTACTGAAATTGGCACTATCATGGCCGTTGCCCAGATCTTCGAAGATGTGCTGAGAAGGGACACGTGCATGAGGCTAGGTGGACTTGGTACTATCTTCCACCTCGGCGCTCTTAAAATGTTCTCATTTTAGATTCATGAGCTTAGTGACAGTTATGAATATTAATATAGGATTGTCAAGGATTCAGATATAATTCATGATTGAACAAAATGTATACAAAAATGAGTCTGAGTAAATCACTCATTTTTTTTCCGAGCTTAAGAGCTATTAAAGTTTATTTTAGCGAATGTCTCTGTACCTAAATGGCTTACTCTCTAAGAGCTGAAAATACAGAAGTCTTACCAAAATCAGGTATCAATGACAAAATAACGTCATCCATTGCTTATTTGAAGTTCAAGGACACGTGGACAAGGAAAATGACTTATAATGACACAATATATCCTTCTATACATAGTTCATGTACTTCTTCCCGTTTCATGAGGGGGAAAAATGAGTTTAAAATATGAAGCCGAGCTAAGCCAGCCACTGAAGCAGGCCTGTAATCCCAGCACTGGGGAGGAACAGAGGCAGGAGGATTGCTAACATGTTCACAGCCTCGGCTGAAACTTACAGAACTGTGAGCCAACAGAACCCTTTTTTAAGTTGATCCTCTCAGGCTTTTAGTTACACAAATGAAAAGCTGATTAATACAAAATCAAGAATTACCGGGTTCAGATTTCAAACCCCATTTTTTAAAAAGATAACACTTATTTGTCCTTAAACTAAAATTTTAAGCTAGGCCTCATGAGCATGCCTATAATCCTAACACTTGGGAGGTTGAGGAAAGAGGACTGAGAATTCAAGGCCTGTCTGGGCTACATCGTGAGATTCTATCTCAGTGCCCCCTCCAAAACTCTTTAAAAACCTCAAAATAATTTAAATGGTGGCACAAGCCTGTCATCCTAACATTTGGAAGACAAAAGCAGGAGGATCAGGAGTTCAAGGCCAGTCTGGGCCACTTAGGATTCTTACCTCACAAACAATAAACTCCCAAGGCAGATGTCCAGGTCTGTTGGATTGCTCTGGTTTTCATACCCCCTCAGTCTCCCCACCCCACTGTAAACAATTGGTCTGAATAGATTAGAAAAGAAAGCAATTAAAATTCAGCCGCCTATTGACGTCCCCTTGCTCAGGCCTTATTTAGGCAGGCATGTTGTAGAGACTTCATGGAGGTGGCTTCCCTGACACAATCTCACAGCCTACTCCCTGTCCCTCCGGATCTTACAATCTTGTGGGCACATCTTCTGCGGTTCGAGGTTCTCTGAGCCTTAGGTGCAGGAGTTGTGTTCTCTAGACTAAGAACTGCGGGCAGCTAAGGCATGCTAGAGGCAGGAGAAATAGGCTTCCTATTTCCTATCCAATGTCCTATCCAATATCAAGTGGTCAGCCCTGAAAACATACACGCAAGTAACATTATATGCACTGAGCATATTGTATTTATAAATTAGGATTGTGTGTGTGCGTGAGTGTGTGCGTGTGTGCGCGCACGCACGTGTGTGCATGTGTGTGTGCGTGTGCGCGTGCGTGTGTGTGTGTGTGTGTGTATGTGTGTATGTGTGTGTGTGTGTGTATGTGTGTGTGTGTATGTGTGTGTGTGTGTGTGTGGCAACAATGAAAGGAAGAGGTCATGAATTTGAGAGAAAGCAAGGGAGGGTACATGGGAGGATTTGGAGGGAAGGAGGAAAGAAATGATGTAATTATATTTTAATTTCAAAAGATAAAAATCATTGATTAGAAAACCAGCCTTTTTAGAGTTGCAGCCAGGTGGCATCTGGGTGATCTATTAATAGCTCACAGTAACACTGAAGGGGAAATGCGGTCTCCCCCAGGCGACTTGCCTTTCTGTCAACTGTCACAGCATCCTGCGTCTGCCTACTCGGGCCTCCAAACGCCCTGCTGACACCTTCCATCTCTCCCCAGACCACTGTAAAGTCTGCTGCTTTTCCCACACGACC